ATACCTCAGGTTGAGTTGTAACTGAATTATTCATTCATATTTCCATACTGACTCCTTAGATACCTCAAGTTGAGTTATAACTGAATTATTTATTCATATTTCCATACTGACTCCTTTGATACCTCAGGTTGAGTTGTAACTGAATTATTTATTCATATTTCCATACTGACTCCTTTGATACCTCAGGTAGAGTTAAACTGAATTATTCATTCATATTTCCATACTGACTCCTTAGATACCTTAGGTTAGAGTTATAACTGAATTATTTATTCATATTTCCATACTGACTCCTTTGATACCTCAGGTTGAGTTATAACTGAATTATTCATTTATATTTATTAACAATTAAAAAAACCACAAGATGGAATTGTCTACAAATCACAATTAACATACCTTGTTTGATGCCACACTGTTCAAGACTATAAAGCTCTTTGTCACCAGTGAGCAATTTCTGCATTGCTTTATTCAACAGATCCCTAGGTTCAGCTTCTACTTCTTTTGCCTTTCTTAAAATACTTCTGCTTTTAGCAAGGTTACCTTGAAGCAAAAATAATTAATCCATCATATATACCAGTCTACACACAGCAATGAGGTACATTGTACATACTGAGAATCAGAATCATAATACAGTGTTGTTTGACCATCATATTCTCTTCTATATAATATACACATATTATGTTTAGAATAGTTATAGTGCTCCAAAATAGCACAAGTTATCAGCGACTCTTCAAGACACTTAGCAAGCATGTTTAAAACAGCTATTGTTTACTGACCATGGTCTAATTCATATTGAGCTGCAGCAATGTGTATTAATGCAATGGTTCTTAGGTTAGCCCTGGCAAACTGGAATTGCATCCGACCATCTTCAACATCTTCATCACTGAAATAAATACAATAAATATAATAATTATGTGATTCCATTTTTTAAAGTACCTAACCATGAGTATTTTAATTTAGACATTAAACAAGAGTGAAAGGCCTTGATTTGATTCTAAAAAAGGCATACCGAACAATTGAAATACAGTCCAAAAAATATATGGTCAGAATTTCATTTGATAGCAAAAAATACGCAGTGATTTTAAATGTAATTTGCATTGACATTAATTTTCTTGGTATAGATCAATTTTTGAATAAAAAAAATAATTACAAACACATTGCTTAGAAGTGTAATCTGGCAAAGCTATTTTACAGGCAACTGACTACCTTACTTGTTTTCAAGATGTTACAAAAATTGATTGATTATTACTAGATCATGATTATAATAAACTACATCTACCCCCCCGGTAATTGATTTGTTGGTTTGTTATGTAATGCAAGCAAAAGTCAGCTTAGTATTATTGAAAGGAAATGTCATCAACTGCACACAAACACTTGATGCAAAACAATATCCGCCATGTTTTTTTTCATGCAAGACCCGACCCTTAACTATGTCCTTTGACCAGCTAGGCCAAGTTTGTTATAAATCAGTCGAAAAGCCAATTGTGCCAGTCAAACGAATTTGGCCATTTCTGGATATCGTCAGTGGCTATGCAACACAGAAGAGATAAATTTATTAATGTTGAATGATGAACTAGGCATTGAAGAAGCATTCAACAGCTCATTGTTGAGTTTACCCATTCACACTAGTCACAATAAAGCACTAAGAAATGTTGGTTGTCAGGTCAGCCTTGAATGTGGAATAGTAGCATGTTGCACTAGGTTATGAAACAAAATAAGTGACAGATCTACCTACAACTACCATACAATTCTATATTATTCTCCATCAAAGTCTGATACAGGTATGCTGTGACACAGCAAATAGGAAAATTCTTACGCATGGCATCAACTGATGTAAAGTTAGTGAGGTGCTACCGGTACCGGTAGTATACTTGAAGGTTTGCAGTGAAACAAATTGTAAAACCTAGTTTAACTTACCCTTGTAGAAGAGCAAACTTAATATGTAATTTTGCATATGTGATATTTTTTTTATTTTCATCCAATGATATATGCTGTAAAGCTGCATTATACATATTAAACAAGTATCGATATCTACTGTGTTGATCTGAATAATGTGGTCTCTGTTCTGCATAACTGATATATGTCAACCAATCATCAGGTTTGCTACCAGACTCTATGATCCTATGTAACCATGAAGTGTGATCTAAAAGTCAACAAATGAATAATAACAATCAATGACAATAAACAAACTTCTATAGAAAGTAGGTAAAAAGAACCAACAAATCTGTAGATGGTAAGAAAATGTAAGACAAATCTGCTTCTCTGTCTACAAATACAAAATTGTGTCAGCTTCTAGCAAGGGCAACAAGTTGTGTTAGTACCAGCCACCAACTCTTTAAGCCATGCCATAACAATTTAAGTTTCAATGATAGCATTATTGATTTTTTTTCCTAGAATATCATATCCATGTAAGGCCAGACTTTTTTTATTCCTTGTTTCTCAAGTTTTTATAAGGCAACTTTTTTGAGGAGGGCGGGGACAAAAATAAAATTCATTCTTTTTTTCCATTAGATTTGTGTAATTCTCAAAGAATTGTAAGTGAGATCATTGATCAGAGAGAAGAAATGAAATAAAATTTTATTTCATGTATAACCTTGTTTTTTCATCTGCGCGAGACTTTGGTATGTTGATCATCATACTCCCACGGAAATGCAACTTAGTTTGTTATGCGGCGGGCGAAAAAAAAATAAATAAAAATAAACACAAGTTTTTTTTAGCAATGTTTAGCACTTAAAAGTAGGTGGGCGCGAGAAATTACACTGAAATAAAATTTTATTTTTTATTTAATTTTCGGCTCCTGTTCATTTGGCGGGTTCGCGAAACAAGGGATAATAAAAGTGTGGCCTAAAGATAACAAAGTGTAATAAATTATTATTACCAACAATGATATCACTAGAAGTTACAAAACCAGGAATAAATGAATGAAAATTTATTGCATCTGTTTCTTCTTTAATTTCTAATTTGGTATTGATGTACAAGACTAATTTTGTTTTCAATTAAATACAAAAACTAATCCACTGTTGTTAGCAAGTCTGCACTAAGTTACCAAGTCCTTCAGGGGTGCTGCATCCAAACACAAATACCAGAATACTGTAAAACCTGTATTAGAAGATGTGGATCCGTGG